TTTGGTCAGCTGGATCAGAATCTTTCTTCAGTCAGTGTCAACCAGTGCACTCTTCAGAAAAGCTAACGTGTGTGTCTCTGTGTGTGGTTGCTTTTTAGTTTGCTTAATTTGTGGATTAAATTTTTATGGAGATTGTATTGCATTTGAATCACTATAGTTATTTTCACTTTTCATTGTATATATATGTCCTCCATTGTGCCATAGTCAAAGACATACAGTTAGTGGAGGTTAGCTAGTGATCCTAAATTGCCCAGAGGTGTGTGTGTAAATTGCCACCTGTTTGTCTGTGTTAGCCCCGTGACAGACTGTTGACCTGTCCAGGGTGTACCCTGCCATTGCCTCCACCCCCCACTACACTCCCACCCAAACCAAATTGCATAAGCAGAGGAAAATGGACGGGTGCATTTCCTCAGTGCAAAGTGGAAAGTGAAAGAAGATAAGTACCCTGTATTGGGTATAGTTGTCAGTACGTCAGACTGACTTATTATACAGAATCAGAGCAAGGTAAGATAACTGAAGAAGCAAATTATCTGACAAAAAGAGAGAAATAGAGTGTTAGCAAAAGCTAAATGGGTATATAATGTATATGAGAGTAAAATAGTATAACAGTACAGTGTGGTAAGTATTATTTGTTTGTAGATATTATTTTTAATCCTAACACGTAAATATCTATTGCCACCATACAAGGAGCAGGTAGGGGTATGTTATAATTGCATGTTTGCATATGGTCATTTACTCTTTAACCACTCTGTGGTTTTGGACTTTGAGAAGCTTTCAGAAGATATGCTGCAGAAGGTCTGTAAGGGCGGCTCATTTTCTATAATGATGAACATAATAATCGCTCTTCTGTGTGAGTACACTAACAGATAACATCTACATCTTTAAGTGAAACTGTTTTCTATCTATTTAAACTGAAAGGATTCATTTAATTTTTCACTTCTTTTCTTCAAGGTGTTCTGGCAAACCAAGTCATAAGCCAAACTGAAGGTAAGTTCAGTTTCCTTCATTACAAGATATGTCTCTTCTGTATTCCTAAATGTTACTAGGTTGCGCTCATCATTACCTATATTGCTCACTATGATGTCACACAGATATTTTTCCTGCAAAGATCCTGGCCCAGCAGACGATTATAAGTGAAAACAGTGACTTTATTGTAACATGCAGCACATTTGGGAAAAAGAAAGACTCCATGGTTTTTATTTATTTGTTAATAAATGGGTGCGGAATCCAGTATCTCGCCCAGAAGCAAGATCAAAGTGACACTACGTTCATCATATCCAGAGCTAGTCTTCATCACAGTGGAAATTACAGCTGTGTTTATTCCCCGAAT